TGATTAAATGGTCAAAACTGACAAAAATGATTGACTTGAAGATTTAATCGATTAAATATACCTCTTAATCGATTAAATATCATTCTTAATTGATTTAATCGATTAAAACTTATATTTAATCGATTAAATATACCAAATGAGCGTAAAAGCATTGATTGATTGCGTTTTGTATTTAATAGGAGCTGATTGCGTTGTGTAGCTGATTGCGTTTTGTATTTAATAGGAGTTGAATGTTTTTGTATTTAATAGAAGCTGATTGCGTTTTATTAGGAGTTGCCATTTTACGAGTTGGTCATAGATTGTCACCAATTCAAATTTATTTGTAATTTGTAATTCTGAACCTATTTATGGACAACATTTCAATGAAGGGAAAACTGTTTCTGCAGTTAATGCAGATAAGTTATCTGCATTTATTCCAAAAACGACGTCATTTTGGTATTGAAATATTAAAAAATTATAAATATAAAGACTATTATAACCTGAAATAAATTAAAATTACAAAAATACTATGATTTCCGCTCCAAAACGACGTCGTATTGGGCTTACTGCAGATAACTTATATGCAGTAACTGCAGAAAAAGTGAACCCTTCAATGAAATGAGTAAATATACCAAATGAGCGTGAAAGCATTGATTGATTGCGTTTTGTATTTAATAGGAGCTGATTGCGTTTTGTATTTAATAGGGGTTGAATGTGTTTCGTATTACAAATTACAAATAAATTTGAATTGGTGACAATCTGTAACCAACTCGTAAAATGGCAACTCATAATAAAACGCAATCAGCTCCTATTGAATACAAAACACAATCAACTCCTATTAAATACAAAACGCAACTAGCTCCTATTAAATACAAATCGCAATCAACTCTTATTAACTTGCTGATTTGCTTCATATGCATGAAATCTGCTATTGTTTATGGAGGAGATTTGACCTTTATTGCCTGTTGGGATCAAGTCAATCTTTTTTGCCAGTTTTGACCATTTAATCGATTAAATCTTTAAGTTAATCGATTAAAGAGGGATAGATTGTGTAGATAGTTTCGAATAAGGGGGAAATGGTTATTAATTAATTAATGAAGGGTAAAAAGGTCAAAAAGTCCATTGGTTCTATCCTATGGTTTCAAAAAAATAACATATCTTCTAACCTAAGGTTTCAACTAAATAATTTCAAAAAACTAACACCACTAATACTGCATAAATAACATAATATAAAACACTTATAATGCATAAATAACAAACTATAAAACACTAATAATGCATAAATAACAAAATATAAAACACTAACCTTGTGAGAGATAAAATAAAGACCTTGTAGAGAGAATGAGAGGAGAAATATGTAATTAGAGAAAGAGTGTGGGAAATTGGGGGGGGGGGGGGGGGGGGGGGGGGGGTATATAGGCAACCAAGTGTGAGTTATCCGTTGGACTTAGTTCGTTACACAGTATAAAGAATTTGTCCACGTCAGGTGGAGGTGGTCTAACGACTATTTTTTTCTGACCGTTAGAACTAGTTATCTATGGAGACCAGCGAATTACTCAAAGTCTGCCACGTGTCCTCCTTTAGCTCAGAGCATACTAACTTTTTGACCACCTAGTTCGCTATTGTCAGTAGCAAATTACGTGGCCACCAGAAACGTACCACGTTTGCGAACATAGTTCGCTGTCTGCAACGAATTAGCATGTGTGGTAATTTGGAAAATTTTACTTCTTACGTGGTATTTGGATAAAAAATTTTTGAAAAAATGTGAAAAATTGGTCACTGTTCCTATCTTGGCTCATGCTCATTTTCATACACGCATCACCTTTAGTCACCAACTTAATGCCTGAATAACCGAGCAAAGAACCTCGATTGAACTAAACTGGTTCAAGCCTCAATATAAGGCATGTTCGTTTAGGCTTTGTTTGGAAGTCATTGTTAGAAGGAAATAGAAGGTTTTATTTATGTCTTTCCCTTATTTGTAAGTTTAAAAATGGGGAAAAAAGAATTGAGGATTTTTATAACTCTCTCCAATTTCCTCTTTCTCTTCGAACGCACAATTGCAAATTAGGGTTATCTAGCAAGAAATTAGTAAAAAGCATAAAACGACGTTAATGATAGTAAGGACGACGATATTGGAGTTGGAAGCTCCGGGAATTTCTCTCGCTCTGGATGCATTGGATTTCATTTTTGTGTGCATCAATTAGCTTGCTGAATTTTGATAATCAACTTATCAATTTGTTACTTTTTTTTTTTTTGTTATGCAATTTCATAATTAGGGTGTGAGGTTTGTTGGGTCAAAATTTAAATTTTAAATTTTAAAATTACTTTTGAAATATAATAATCTTTTGTTATGTAATTTCACAATTTTAAAATTCCTCTTTTTTTATGCAATTTCATAATTTTAAAATTACTTTTTTTTAGAAATTTTAAATTTAATTTTATTTGTAAAACATAATAATTATCTTAGTTTTTTAAAAAAGAATAAAAATATAAAAATATCATATTAACCCTTCATTTTTCTCCCTTATCATATCTTTAATTCTCAAATTAAAGTGAATACCCTTCATTTTCCTTCCTTCCCTTCTCTCTCTCTCTCCCTTAGATCCTCTTCATTTTTTCCCCTTCCAAACTCTCAAACAAAGCCTTAAGTTCAAAGCTCTTATTTGTTCCTATACATGTAACTCATTTTTTTACAAAAATAAAAACTATTTAGATTTTATTAAATACTAAGAAACTGCATTGAATTATTGTGAAACATAAATACTAAATTAAAAATGATTGTCTCATATAAAAATAAAATAGTGATGTTTCTAATTCCGATATGTTAATTGAAAATAATTGTCTGTATAAGGATTGAATTGAGAATGCATATTGAACATGGACTAAATTAAAAATAAATATAACATATTGGGACTAAAAACACATTATTCAACCATTTTCATATTTATATTTTTGTGTAAAACGTGGCTAGCTGACTTCATTTACATTCAATAGTAGGTTTTGTTTATTTTTCGGCGGAGCTTATTGGATTGGATTCGTGTATATAAGTTATAACTATATTATACTATAAATATTAGATTTGTGAATGTCAGTGACATAATCTTTCACTAAAAAGAGTTGTATAAAAAAAATGATGATTCACGCCGTGAATGAATAAACCTTGCTATTTGTATATTGCGAGTAATCTATTATACAAATTCTAGTTAAAACATGTTGGAACTGGCCGCTCATACTCGAATCACTATATCAATTATCGAGTATCAACTATTCAAATTTCAATCCTTCCAATATATATAATGAATCCGGCTATGTTAAACACCTACGCTAGTTAATTTGACATATTCTGGTCAATTATAAAATGTATGGGTTAACTTAGACAGAAGAAAATTGAATATCTGAGTGTGGAACGCAAAACAATAGGTATCACCATTAAGGTTTTTATAAAATATAAGCAATTAAATATTAATCTATTTTATGAAATGGGTGCATAATTACTACTTAAAACCATATATGTGTGCATTATACTTGATTTGAACCAAACTCATGTGGGATATAACACCTAATTTATGAATGGCCTAAGGGTCCCAATAACTAAAACTTCAAGGTTAAGGAAACGCGATTGTTCCACATTTCCATTTATACTCGATGTCAGCAGCTCAAGAGTCAAGACTCTACAGCCACCCTAATAGCCAATGGTTAAGGGACAGACACCTAGTTTCAGCTACCCCTATAAGACATAGCTCACAAATAGATATCTCGCATATGAGATAGCTTGCAAGAGCCACTTTTGCTGAGCAATGAGGTTAAATGATGTCATACTAAGATGGCATAAGTAAGGCAATCAATAAGTGTCAGAGAGCCTTGCATATACCTCCCACATTTGTCCCAGCCAATCAAGACATCCAATCTCAAATCTCCTATCTCCTAGAGCATCCCGCTAAGTAACAAAACATCTCGCATAGTCACCATCTTACAACACTCATTCCAACAAAGATCCAGACAACTATTGGATCAGACTCAACCATATGTGATCTAGCCCAATTCTTATTGGACTAATCATTACTCCTAAGAGAAAGCAATGGAAATACTAAGCGTGAGTGATGAAATCTCATATCAAGAAGGAATAAGGTAAGAGATATAAGTGAAAGGACCCAAAAACTTAACTAGGAAATGAATCCAACCCATCGGGTTGGTTCGTTTAAGCCGCCACAAATGGCAGATCGGGTTGAGATTCCGAACCCGCTTAAACATGCCGAAATGGGTTCAAACCGTCGCGAGACAGACTGATTCGTCAGGTTATTTTTTTTTTTTTTTTATAATATCAAGTAATATTTTATTTGCCATGCCAAGTTTTCATGATATTCAAAAAAATTTATCTTAGTATCCTTTATAAAAGATAAAATATGAAACAATTTGATTATAACAAATGTTATCTATATAGTAAAAAATAGTCCCTAGAGACTGTCAGACTGAGTATTAACTACACTTGAGTTTAGGATCGAAAAAAATTCGTGAGTATGAAATGGAATTAAATAATACTATAAAACTCATAGAATAAGATTTTTTTGAGTTTTATTCTTCTTCTTCTTTTACATAGTTTGAAGCATCAGAGACACACTTACCCTTTGATATTCTTTTTATAAGCTAAGTTCTTCTTTTTAATCCAGTACTTTCTATATGTGTAGTTTGATGCATCGGACATATGATACACACATCCGAAGCTAGATGAAAAGGAAGAAAATATGCAATCACGAGTCATATCAACCCCTTTCAACTAAGCATGCATATAGAGCCCAACCCTGAAAGCTCCACATATATCTAATGAGCCATTTAATACACGGGGGAGGGACTGCGAGAATATTAATATATATACAACCATAATTTTAGACCCCACTATGATTGCAAGAGTATACAAACTGCTAGCATATACCGGTTGCCAAATTTCAGTATTGAGGCTATGTTTCCCATAATGAAATTTCTTGTTTGGTTTTACTAATTTTATGAAGGAAAATAAAAAAACTACTAGCAATTAACGGATGACATTCTGCGAGGCACGAGAGCATTCTCTATGCTGCTTCGGCAAATCCAACTCTCAGTTTACCATAATCAAAGACCGTGTGATATCGCCCCATGAAGACATCTCCAAGGATCCTACATTTATGCAGATGCCATTAAGTGAGAATCAAATCAATGCATCACAATCAAAAGTTAAATGCCATAGTGTATGTCTCAAGCAAATAAAAGCTTTAACATACCAGAGAGGGCCACGTGGAGGAGGAATATCCAAAGCAGTAAAGCCACTAATGCATTGAGCTGCAGGACCTTCGCCCACCTTCAGTATGTACTGAAGAAACCAAAGAGAAAAGCGGATAAGGACAAGAGAAAACATAGAACAGGGCAACCATTCAAGCATAGAATTCAGGCTAATGCCTACGGCTACCAAATAAAATTATCACTATAATAGCAGTTGAAACGTCTCCTTCTCTATGTGTGAGTTCCTTCTGCTCCACATTTTATTTTGTTTTATTTTTCATTAAAACTAATTCGTCAAGTAACAAATCCAAGGCATTTGCTTGCTTTTCTTACTATTATGTCGAGTACGTAAACCTTACACATTTAAGTATTATCCAACCCACAAATAAAGATTATTCAATCTTTCTGGGTTCGAACCCCATCCCTTGAAACAATTTCTTTGTACCCACAACCCCATATTTTGGCAAAAAATACGGAAAATAAGGCATTGATAGGATCCATAGGATAAGGCTGCATTTGGTTTCAACACTTTTGGGTTCATCCCATGGTTTCTGTAGCGAGTGTTCAATGATAGACTTGCAAATTGCTATGGCAAATCAAAAGCGCTGTAAAGCACCATTTAGCCTGACCACTAACTAGCTCTATCTTGTACTCCGTTCTCGTATTGATTTTTTTTTTTTTGTAGGGATGTTGTCTTTCCCTCCAACAATATAATTCCTTTTTCTCTTCACCCGTTATTTTTTCATAAAATTAAATACAGATAGTGATCAGCCCTTGCAAAAGCAACTAATCAGGTTTGAAACTATACCTCCTGCGGGGCAAGGTCAAAAGTTTTTCCACCAATAGTAAAGGAAACAATAGGCATTGAAGAGATCTTTCCACAGTCAACAGATGATTCTCCCATTGGGCTAGGCATTTTATCACAAAGCTGCATTATCAACATGAGGCTGGAGTCAAGAGGAGAAGCAGAATTTAAATTCTCAAATAGCAAAATTAAGATTAGTTACCTCATTGATATAGTTTATTATCCGATCTTGTGTCTGATTCTGCCTCAGCTGGTTCTGCATCCAAACAACAGCCATCTCACATGCAGAACAAGTAGCATCCCGAAAGCCACCAGATGATCTTCTTTCTTTCTTATCCACCACACTCTCGATACCCATACTAAAGAAAAAAATTAAAGACACTTTAATAAAATGGCAGTCACAGTACATTAAATATATATTGAGCTCTCTAAAGTAAATGACAAAAGGTATAATTCTTCGGGCATTACCTAACACCACGAGTCCCATCAAAGGTGCACAATCCAATTTGGGAGCAGATCTTCTTTGGCTGTGCCTACAGAACCAAATGAAAAGCCTAAGAAAATTCCTTCTGAAAGATGACCCGATCACTCATGACTACGGGCAAAGAATCCAATCAATCTAAATATGCCAAGAATGAATTAAAAATGGTACTTACTTCAGCCGAGAGCAATTCCAAGATTGTTTGTCCATATTGTTCAACAACGGACTTGCATTCTTTGCTTACAACTCCAGATGCTCCAATTGCTTGATTTATCATCGTAATTACTGTCTGCAAGAACAAACCACATAATTGATTAGCTAGCTGGTGTAAAGCATTTGTTAGACCTTTTCTCATTTGTTAATATAAAAATTGCAATCACAAAGAAGTACCCGAGTCTGCAAATTTTTAGACCTTTTCTCATTTAGCCTAAACCATTCTTTACAGATTATAAAACTCTAATCAGAAATGAAATCTAAACAGCAGCCTAAAGCATTTAATCGTACCGTTGGACCTGCCAACAATGAAGTCCCTGAATCTGCAATTGCTGAACAGTCATTAGCACAATATCCTGTATGACAATATGCTCAAGTCAGTACCAATGAACTAAAACCATGAACCAGTTACGAAAGTTCTATCAACATCATGTCATAGGAGAAACATATAGGTATTTCTGCTAATACGTATTCCCCACATACCAGTGGGTTTACCAGCAATAAGTACATCTCCCATGTTAAACTGTCCAGAAAAAAAATGTAGTTAACAAAGAGAAGTATACAGAAAATAACCCACAAACAAATGCAGTATAAGTATAATAACCAAATTTGTTGATAACTAACCTGCCAATATCCTATTCGTGTCACAGGCACATAAGTATGTTCGCCCTTATAATGAGCAGGATCAACACCACCAAAAACAATCTCGCCCCCTTGCTCTTCTTCTGGTTTACGATTGAGCCAAAATGAAAATACTGGATCCTTAACAAGACCTTGTTCAACCATATTGTACCTGGGACAGGAAAGTGCCTCTTAATGACTTAGAGATTAAATAAAATAATAACAGAATGATAAATGAAAGTTTAAACGTGCACAGATAGATACCACACTGGAACAGCATTTCCAACTGATATCTCCTGAAAACCAAGACCTAGTAAACCATCGAACTTAGCCGCCACAAAAGTAACTCCAGGCTCTCTAGTTGCTTCAATAAATTCCTGATGAGAATCAAAACGTAGTCTATATCAATTGATTAATCAACATATTACAAAAGAAGCCAACTCAACTCACCCCTCCCCTCCATATGAAGGAAAAGAATAAAGAAATAGGGATTGACAATCTGTATTACCTGGTTCTTTATAACTATGTCACCGACTCTGACATTGTCATAGCTAAAGAAACCAGAAATTGCTCCAGTACCATATTGAATTGCAGCAGAAGTCCCTAAATGACAAGAAGTCAAACTCGTATAAAAAAAGGAGAACATCCCGACATCACTTCTACAGGGCACAGTGTCAAGTAGCTAGCCCAAAGAAATAGAAAAAATAAACTTAATTTTGTTATGTTCTGGCATTACCAATAATTTTCAAAATTTTGTTATGTTCTGTAAATCCCTGGGGTGAAATGGCTGGATGGTAAAAATCTCAAACTTAAACTCCTTTATATGATAGACGCATGATGTTTAGATCCACCACACCTCCCCCTCCCCAAAACAAAATAATAATAATAATAATAACAATAAATAAATAAACCGTTAGGAAAAGACTTGAGAATTTATCCTAGAGAACTTCACATGTTAATCACATCGAAGTTATGATCAAAGAATACAGCATTTGATACAAGGGCATTTTCAGATTAATAAACTGCAAAACCTCCATAAAGACAGAACAAACGAAGGTAAACCCTCAAAAGACAAGAAGAAGAAGAAGACATACCATTTTCCCTGTAGGTACTTGATTGGCCAGACCTGTACTTGGCATGGAACAAACATGCAATCTGCACCAACATGCAAAATGCCATGAATGAATTAACAAAACGAGGAAACAAAAACCTGATACATATTTGCAAGATGGATATAAAAAGCTCACCGAGAAGTAACATTTAGCTGATGGGACCCACATATTAGAGCTGCCCGTGTCAAAAATCACAGTGAACTTCTGTGGAGGGGTACCAATGGCTATTTCACCATAGTACTGAGCATCCAAGTAATTCTTCAAAGCAACAATATCGGTGTCCTCAGTGCCTCCAAGGATGTTTTGGAGATGATACTTTCTAATGGAAGACCTCAAAGACTCATAATCCTTGAACCCCAGACGAGCAGCCAGCCGGTCATTGGTTTCCAATTTGATCTTTTTCAGTCCTATCCTGCGCAACCCGTCTTTGGGTGCACAAGACACCAGAGAAAACAACAGGGTAGACACACAAAAACACAACACAACCACATTGCACTTGTTTCCCATGTTGACCTGTTCATCCAAATTCCAAAATTCAACTTCAGGCAAAAAGTTTTACTATTAAAAAAATTTAATCCCAATAAAGGGTTAAAAAAAAAAAAAAAAAAAAAAAGTTAACTGAGAAAAAAGATGTGACAATCTTAAATTTTCTCGTGTCAGAGTGTGAGTTCGCATGTCTCCTAGCAATAATTAAATAAACCATAAACCCCATTCATTCCTCCGCCAATGCATGCCTTTTTAAAAAAAAAAAAAAAAAAAAGGGTTTAGATCGAAATAAAACCCATCAAATTGCTTAAACAACATGGATGAGTAGAACAAAAATCCATCAATGCATGCATTCAGAAAAGAGTCCCAGAGGCCAGAGCTGCTCATGATAAAAGAAAACATCTAAAGCAATTGCGATTACGATTATGATTATCATCATTATTAAAATGGAAGACAGAAACAGAATCACATATTCACACATTTATATGATGAAATCGTAACACAAAACCCAGCAAACCAGAAAGACATAGAAATATTAAAAAATAAAAAATGAAATTATAAAAATGAGGAATGAGAGAATGCAAGAAGGAAAAGAACGATAGTTACCGAAATTCGGAAGAGAAGAGAAGATAACTGAGAAGAAGATGAGGAAATGTTAAGAGAATTTAAAGTTTTAAAACCCCCGAAGAGCCGAAAAAAAGCGTAACTACCTGGCCGTGGTTGGCACTGTAGTGGGCCCAGCTCATCTATTAACCTATTCTTATACTCGGTGTGGGTCCTTCATCTTTAACCGTTGATCAAGGAGGAATCGTCTCTAATTCACGAGAGCCGTTCATCATGAGGAGGTGGAGATCGGATTTATTCGTGACGCGTTGGGATGTAACTGACATGGTTTACGTGCCTCAAAAGTAGAATGTGAATGTACCCTTGGGTTTCCTTAGAACGCGACACAACATATCCTCCTAGATAAAACCAATTCATTCGTAATAAAAATGGGTTTTATTGTTATAAAAAAAAAAAAAAATGGGTTTTATGAATCTGTATCAAATAGGTGCAGTGGATCCTTGTAAAAGTGATTATGTGGTCATGTTATTTGATTACAATCATTTATTTACAAATTATACATTTTTTTCTCTCTTATCCCATCATGAATGAGTGATTGTGATCAAATAACATGATCACTTTTACACATGAGAGGATCTACTTCTATCAATAGAAGAGAAGATATTTCCTACCACTCTCACAGTCGTGTGATGGAACCCACATAGTTATAAAATAAAAAAATAAAAGAAAACAAAGCTCAAGAATCGATGTCTCTATTAGAAAATAAATCCATTTACTGTGGTTGAAGACTAGTTTTTCCCAAAAAAAAATCCGCTCATTTTCCTAATAAAAATCAACTGAGATAAGCTCTAGGGCCTAATTTTATTTTTTTTAGATATTTCAAATAGTTTATCGTTTTGTGATTAGTTTTGGGGTGAATTGCAGGATTAAAACTTTAAATTCTTACTAAAAATGAAATATGTTCTCACCTTCACCTGTTCAGTTCTCTAGCATCAACTGAATTACCATTATTTGTTTTGTGGGCCTATTCTAACACACCACTTCCTCAGTTTTTTATTCCGTTTTTATTTTATTTAATTATAAAAATAATATATTAATTTATTATAACATCAAACTTATGAATTTTAAAGAAATTTTTTTGAAAAAAAACATACTATATGATTTTTTAATTAATGAAGATAAAAAGTTTATGAATGATACATGAATTTAATGAAGATAAAAAGTTTATAAAAGTACATGAATCTCATGGAGCCATGTGAAGAGAAGAAGAAAAAAATATAAGCCCCATAAATTTTTGTATATATATAAAAGATAAACTATCTCCTAAAACATGATAAATACTAATTTCATGAAAAGACTAGCTGCTAGTTCACTACTACTTACTTCAACTGCATTATTAAATTAAGAAAAGCGCATAAAAGTGTTGAAAAAATTTCTTTATATTCCCACAATTGTAGTACTATTAATTCTTTCAATGGTAACACTTTTTAATATATGAATAAGTATCAGAAAAATAGTGGTGATGTAGTAAACATACGGGGAACTGAGGAGTAATAGAAGTGAAGTGACCTTCAAGAAAGAGTGGGGGAAAAGAAAAAGCAGAAAGGCTACATTAGAAGGTAGCGTGGTGAAGAAAATATGGAAGACATTGCCAAGAAGCAAAGCCAATGTGACATCTTTGAGAAGAATACAAAGGGGAGTGAGGTAACCCCAGTGAGGAGTGCTGAGGCTGCAATTGTGCAAATAAGCAAGTTAGCTAATTATTGTTTAGTGATGTTTCCTAAGAGAGCATGGAAGAACAACACGCATTAGTGGCTATTCTTCACATCACTGATCAATAACGAATACTTAATGCGTATGGACAACAAAAAGCTCCGAATGAGTCTTCAACTTATTGATGCTGAGTTTGATCAGTCAGCATGCCAGGACCTGATTAGCCACACACGGAGGAGTGTTTTTCCTTGCTTTCTTTTTCCTTTTTCTTGAAATATCACGAGTGTGGGAAACAATTTTGTTTTTGTTGATAACAGTGAAGCTTTTATTTGCTCTGATTTGAAGGGTAGAAATATATATACATACACACTTGTGAACCCAAAAAAGAAAGGCAGAAATATATAGCTCTTCACCAGACCTACATTATCATTACTCTACCTCAAATAATAATATATGAAATTTAAAAAAAATTTAAATAAAATTTGAAAGCCTCTTTTTTTTGGGTATAAAATACTCTTTCAATTTAACTATGCATATTTTTCATTTTAATATATTATATACAGTTCCATATTTTAAGTTGAATTAAAAAAAAAATTCATACACAAGACTATGTTATGAACTTGACATAAAAGCCCATGTTCTAGAAAGCCTAAAAAGGGCAAACAACTAAGAGAGAAATTAAGAAAAAAAACCCCTTAATTATATTAATCCTAGAGCAACAGTAATGAGTCAAGCATTGGAACCTCAAAAATTCACCAAAGGTTCAAAATTTCACAACTCACTGATAAACTCTATAAATAAAATTAGTAAACCTACATGTATCACACTTCTTGACTCTCTCCCCTAGCTGTCACTGTGCACACACATCACCTTTTGACTATGTTGTCATCATAGTGCACAATGATCCGCCATTCTCTAAGGTATTTCTCTATAGGTACCTGAGAAAGGGTACCTAGATCCTGTAGAAAAACATCAATCTCTGATTGGACAACTCGATCCTTCTAGGATCGAATGTTAATGCAACCGTCAAAATGGAACGAGAAAGAGCAGCAACCTTCATAGGGTGAGATCCCGGTAAATTGATTTTGGGACTCTGAATAAAGAAAAAGGCCAGAAAGTCATGAGGAAGGCACACGGAACCCAATAGGACTAAGTAATTGCGATCTCGACAAGGAGGTCAAAACGCAATTAAGATTAGCCAGTCCGAGCTTGTACCTCGGCCAGAAATGGCAAGGAAAGATATGTTAGGATAGAACTCGATGACCCGATAAAGACAATCGACTGCTGAATACAAGCTCATATCATGCCATACGAGGAAAGGGTCATTATAAGAAAAAAAACTGCTCGGTATAAACTTAGATATGGCCTAAGCACTAGACAAATGGATCCCCCCAACCATTTAGGCAAGATGGATCCTCACAAAGAGTGTTTAAGCACGACAACAGACCACTAGCAAAATCGCAAAAAACTCAGCATTGAAAATTCAAAAGCCGAGTCTTAACATTAATCATGCAACGCAAAAGAGAAGCCACTCAACATGAGCCAAGATGTGGTTGGGTCCCAGTAGCGGGTTCGAGAAAATCTAACTTCGAACACGGTTGTACGTAATAACCGCAAATGGCGAACTGATTAAATCGAATTAAGAAGGGTTTCAACCCGGATAATGATTGTCGGAGAAAAAATATAATTCCATCAACACAGAGACAACAACTATTACTCCCTGGCAGCCCAAACATCTTGACTACCAGGCTGGAGCCAACTATTATGGATATGATATAAAAGCCCACATTCTATAATATCCAAAGAAAGGCAAACTACTAAGAGTGAAATTAAGAAAAGATTCATTAATTATACTAATCCTAGTGCGCGCGACAACAATGGGTCTAGCCTTCGACACCCAAAAATTCACCAAAAGTCCAAAATTTAACTATCAACAGGTAAACTTTATAAATAAGAGATAAATTCTATAGGTACACACACTTCTTGATTCTCTTATTTGTCACTGTGCACACACCTCATCCTTTGGCTATGTCGTTATCATAGTGCACAATGATCCTCTATTCTCTAAGGTACTTCCCTTATAGATACTTGAGAGAGGACATATAAATCTTACAAAAACATATCTATCTCTAATTGGACATTTCGATCCTTCTATGTTCAAACAAACTATTATTGAAAATTTCATAGAATCAAAGTTAATTTTATTATTGAAAAGACATTTATATATAAATGCACAAATACATTTAATTTAAACAACTAGGTAACTAACCGAGAAAATGATAGAAACCGAAAGTATTTACATAATATATACTCATTAGTTGTTGCAGTAAAATAGAAATACAATTTTTTGTACTCGCTCTCTTTCTCTTTTTGTACCTTATCCATGGTAGTTAACATTCCCATTTAAATCTGCACTTTTGAGATTTTACAATTTTTTTAATCAAAATAATTTCATCAAAATTTCAAATGCTTTTACATTTTTACGATTTTTTTACGTTAAGATTTTACGTTTTATAATTTTACATCATTCTTTCAATTTTAGATAAAATCTCAATTTTAACTACATGACTCTACCCATGTAAACGAGACCAATGTACAATATACATGAACGCATTTAAGAACAGAATATCTACTTCAAAGTAGGGGTGTTCGCGGTCTGGATTGGATCGATTTTGGAAGCAAAACTCATCTGATCCAATCCGTTCGGTTTGATCATGTAATCATCCATTCGGTTTAGATTTTTTT